TTCTCAGACTTATTGTCCGTCCGAGAGTAAGTGAACTTAAACTTCAAGACATACGAGTTGAGCATGCCCTTCTCGGCCAGCTTGTCCAATAACTTTTTTAGGTTATTTACTCATTCGTATCATGCCCCATATCTTTGTGGTAGTGATAATTCTTTTTCTTGTTCCGATACTAGGCCGACCCCCTTAGAGGCTGGGGCTTCTCAAATTCAAACTTATCCTTTATTTCCATCAAAATCGAGTAACAATCTTTGTTGTATTCATACTGTGGTTCGTACGTCTTGGCTTTCTTGGACTTGGTCTATTGGCAATCATCCACCCAGACTTCTTTTCTTTTGTTACCTCCTTCCTTCTTTTTGCAGGCCGAGTCTTGCTGAGAAGATGGTTTCTTCTTAACGCCCTTAGCCGGCTCTTCTGCCTTTGTAAGCGAACATAAATCAGCTGCCTCAATGTATGACTCGGCCTCTCGCAGAACACCTGCGTATGTCCGAATCTTTTTCCTAATCAAGTCGAACTTGAAACAATTACACTTTTCACTTTAGCTGGATAGGGAGAGTTGAGAATTTCTTGAGAAAACAGAGGCGGCTTGTCACCAAGAGTCAACAAGAGAATTTGCCAATAAATAAGCTGAGTTTGGGAGGCCGGTCCAACCAGGTAGGCAGCTTGGTCGTACGGCGGGCCATATTGCCCGTACTGCCCATACATAGGGAAAGTAGGCGGCAAAATTGCATCATAGTTATGGGGCATTAAAAACTGAGCTGGTTAAGATAAATAAAGGAACTAGAGTTAGATTACAATGAGCTTGACTTCTGCTGGTCCTGACCAAGCTGGTATGCTTGGAGAAGGTATGGTATGACATTTCATCCAGTATGGTAGGAATGGAAGCAGTCTCCGAGTAGTAAGACTGTATCCACTCCTGTCGCTTGTGCTGAAGATAGTCTCTAGCATCCTTGAAGCGCTGGGATGGCTCGTTTGGTTGCCTCAGAGGCGGCCTCATCTGCCCCCAACCGACTTTGATTTCTCAAGCAACCTCGACCAATTCGTCCGAGGCACCCTTGGGGACCTCGGCTGCCTCCTGAACGGAGTAACTCTCGCATCTTTAGTGTTGGCCGCATGGTGCTTCTTCTTGGTACCCTCTCCTTCTTTCCTAGGCGGATACCTAAAAGTAGAGGGTATCCTGCCCTCGAACCCATTTCGGAGCTTGGCCAAAGCAGCCTACAAAGAGTCGGCCGTCACAGGAGGATCCTCGGCCTCATGGAACGAGGCGGTTAGAGGATCGTTGTTGTTGATAGTAACCTCAATATTCTCTTCACGTCTGTCCTGACCAAGGCCGGGTGTCTGACCATCTTTAGCCATTTCAGACGTGTATCCCCAAAGATGGCGCCAAATATTTTGGGGTTTTTTGAAATCCGTTGGGATACAGGTCTTGAATATAGCCGGACAGCCGCGGACACCTGCAAAACAACAAATATCAGTTTGACGGAATATTTGCCTCCGACGATCAAGTTAGTGATCGGAAAGCAAAAGTTTTTAAAGAGAGAAAGTAGAGAGAGGTTAGAGCAACTCTTATGCAATAAGTGAGATGTCTTTGTCCACCCCTCCGCCCCATCATAAATGATTGGGGTATCTATAGGGGTGGGAATGTGTGCACTCTAGGGTTGGTGCCCTAAAAAGGAATGATCTGATTGGTGGCGCAATCAGAGTAGGACACCTGTCCTTTGGGGGTGCCGTTATGGCGCCTTTCTTGGAATTTGGGCCTCTTGATGTAAGGAAGCCTTCACTCTTCAGGTGCTCTTTTGTTTTGCCACGTGTCGTCTTCCTATCGGGACACATGTCGCCCTTTTATTGGGTCATGTGTCACTATAGGAGTGGACCACGTGATGGGGTATTTTTTACCCTAAACAGTGATCAATTAAGACAATAGAATAAACATTAATATTGAAAGCAATTTAACCATAATATCATTAGTCAAATCATCAAAATATAATAATAAACCTAAACATGATACTAACTATATAAAATAAGAGTAAGTAATTGAATGAATTACTCAAGTTCCGTGCTTCTTTAAATTGTTACATCATGAATAAAGTATTAGTAACTTCAAAGAATAATAAACCAAATTGAAATCAAATTATATTTAAGTAGAGTTGATTTGGTCCAAACCCTCAATCGATTCTACCCCTTTCACGCCTTGGTTTAAGGGTGGAACTTCAGGTATAATAAGGACTCCTTCGAGTGCTTAAGGGATGAATAATGTAATAAGGATGGTTGAATTATATGTGTAATGTGAGAGGAGGAAGAGAGAATATTAGTTTCTGCTTCGAAGCTCATAAATGAGCCTCATATTTATAGAGAAAAATGATGGAGTGAGGTACGAAAACCTAGAAACAAGGCGTCGTGAAAGAAAAAGGTACCGCATCACAGCACTGGGTGTCGTGTCACGGCATAAGTACCGTGGCATGGTACTAATCTTTATCATTTTTGGAAAAGAAAGCGCGTTAAGAAAAGAATTTGGGAAGATCTTGGTGCCCCGGCACGGCACTAGTAATGTGGCACAGTACTTTCCAATTTTTACGCATTTTAAAAAATTCCATAACTTTTGATCCGTAACTCGGAATAAGGCATATAATATATCATTGAAAATATATTTAAGTCTACTTTCTAAAAAAAAATTAGAATCAGGTAAAAATATTTTGTACATTTTAAGATATGGTCATTTTAGTGCAAGGGTGTCGGTTTTGGACAGAGTTTTAGTGTTTTGCTCATATCTTTTTCGTTTTAAATCAAAATTGGGCTTATGATATATCGTTGGAAAGCTTATTTTAAGGGATATCCAAAAAAAATATTTGGATCAAAATTATGAGGCAAAAAAATCATTCTTTCTCGGTTTTGTGTTGTGGACACGAAAAGAGAAAAATAAGTTATGGTTTGGGGAAATGGGCTAGGAATTGGATTGGTTTAGGTGAAATAAATGAAATGTTGGGCTAAGGCTGTGGTTTTAAGAGCTCTACAGATTCCATACGCAACCCAAACAATAGTGGCGGTGAAAGGTTGTTCATCATTGGGTTTAGTTTTGGGGAGACATTTTTAGGTGTCTACAGTATTATGCAAAACTAAATCACCGTAAACACTATACTTTAAAATTTTCCAAAAATGGGACCCGTAATTGGTCCAACTACTTTCTTCGAAAATCGAGGGAAGTGACAAAAGATCCAAACCAGAATCACCAACTGTGGATGCTGTTAAAATGCGGCCTCAAGTCATTAAAAATGTTTCTAATACCTTTCATCCAAATTTAATTATAGATTTAGAACACCTCAGATTAATTTGCTTAAGGTGTGATATGATGCATGAGATTAAATATGGATACAAAACAGATACATTCATTGATCATTTAATATAATCCTCACATTCTCTCTCCGTCTTTACTTTAATCTTACCCCCTCAAAAAAAAAGTTGTAAAGATGAGGTGTCTTGTCATTAAGGAAAACAAATTATATCACAATAGAACACACAAGTGTCTAAAAAAACTACGCTATTTCGGTGTGTCCGAGACAAATTGTCATGTGCCCTAACGCGTGTTTGTACAGTTGGTATTTTTAACTTCGCTTATAGGGTGAAGTATCCGACACAAACACGCTTATAGGGTGAAGTGTCCATGTATCCTAGTTAAAGGATTGTCAATTTGTCATGGGTTAATTTGGTTTTCCTCGAGTTGAAATAGTTTCGTGTTAAACAGGTTGAGTCACTAACATATTAAGATAAGCAACCCCCATTTTTATTTACTTGCTACATTTAAGTTTCACATTAGTCGATGCATAATTTCAACCGTTTGAATTTTTAACTACGCATTTGTAAAAATTAAAATAAAAAATTTCAATAAAGTAGATGTTTTTTTTAACAAGAAGAATAAAGTAGATATTGAGACGAATTTAACAATATATTTGATTTCGCGTCAAATTGTATGGGTATGATTCATAGTTTTATTGTGCTCTTAGTAGCCTCTGGGCGGTGTTGTCGGTGGTCGGTTGATATTTTTAAGGGTGGTCAAGGTAGTTGGGTGAAGAAGAGTTTGGGGGTTAGAGTGATCCCCTTGGTCGCGGGCGAGGGGGGTGAAAATAGAAGAAAATGAGGTAATGAGATGGGTAAAGGGAATGATTGAATTTGCCTTTTATTTTATTTTTCTTAAGAAAAAGGGGGATTGACTTTGCCTATCAAACATCAACAAAGGGATTCATGCCTTCATGGTAGTTGATTCCCTTTTCCTTTGTTGAATACCCCCAACCAAACGCCCCCTTAGAGTCTTCGAATCAATACTTCGTAGTAGACCTGGCAAATGGGTCATTTGGGTCGGGTACGGGTCGAGTCAATTTCGGGTCGGGTCGGGGTCAGTTAACATTTGGGTCGGATACGAGTCGGGTCATTTCAGGTTTCGGGTATGACTCGGGTCAAGTTCGAGTCGGGTATGTTCGGTTCAGACCATTTTCGAGTCAAATATGTTCGGGTCATATTCGGGTCAGGTCAAAATCAGGTCGGGTAATGTTCAGGTTGCTCCATTTCTGGATCAAGCTCAAATCAATAATTTTATATTTTGTTATTGTTATAATAAAAACTATCAATTCAGTTTATGAGCTTAGTTACGGTTGAAGATGAACAATTTGAGTTATTTTTTGCATCAAACATATTTAGTTCAATTATAAGGTAATTTTAGTTCGGGACATTTTGTGTACCGGGTTAATTTCGGGTATCGGGTTTGTTCAGGTCAAACACTTCGGGTCAATTTCAGATCGGGTCAACTTCGAGTCGGGTTAGTTCAGGTGTCGGGTCAGGATCAGGATCAGGTTAACTCCATTTTCGGGTCGAGTATAGTTCGAGTTGGGTCAATTTCAAACTTCGGGTTAATTTTGGGTCGATATTTTAGGATCAATTTTGGGTCATGAGTCAAGTCATCGGGTCAGGATTGCTAGGTCTACTCCGTAATAGCTATTCCAACAAAATGGGTGCTCCATAAATGCGTTTTAACTCAGACCAACGGCATTGACTGTCGTCGGAAGTCTCTATGATGATAACTACTGTAGCAACTAATCGTGAATAGTAATTCTCCCTAATTCTTCTCTACAATACGTCAATACTCTTACAATTGATTCTTGAATCAAACTAGCGTTTATATTAATTCGCAACTTAGCCCGTGAAATTTTCCAGAAAATCGAAATTATGGAAAATTCTAGGGTTCCTGAAGGATCTTCCGATCCCCAATTTCAATTCATGAAGAGCACATCATTCAATTACAACTCACAGCAAACCCCTAATTCATCAGATCGAAGGTACGCATATAATCGACAATCTTCACTTCAACAGTATCAAGATCCACGAACTCCGACGACGATAATCTCCAATAAAAACTTAATGACGCCGGTGTTTTCTCGGAGTACTTCGAGCATTGATATTCCGCCTTCAATTCATCCCGGAAATGATATTGATTACAATTTGTGGAAAGATTCGCCGAATTCTGGGGCGAATTTATCGTTGTTTGAATTGATTTCATCGGTTTTTCGAGCTTTGAGGACGGGAAATCGGCCTATGAAGAGATTGTTTTTGATGATTTCGCTAAATGTGGCGTATTCGACTGCCGAACTATTCATCGGGCTTCTTTCGGGTCGTGTTGGTAAGGCTTTCGATCTTTCTTTTTGTTGATAATCTTGTATTTTGCAATATTGTAATGTTAACTTGTGCTTTTTCGTAATATATTGAGGAATTTTCGTGGTTTTATACTTTAAATTAGCTGGATGTTTATACATCATGTTTTACAAGTATTTTTTTTGTGTGATTATACTCCACTTATCATTCTCCAAATTTCAGGCTGATAAATTAGTATTTGTAGCGATTTTGCTTTTGCGAGTTGAATGCTGGATTCGGTTTTACTTTGGGCAACTTATGAATTTCAAGGACGGTACTTTGTTTGTGATTTGTGTGCGCGAGAGATTGTGGATTGACGTAGTAGGTTGAAGGGATAACTATTATAAGAATGAATAGTATAAGAACTTGGCAAGTATATAATCCTGTCCACTTTAAACTATCAGGCCGCTTAGCTTTCACTTAAGATATTAATGGATGACTACTTGTTTTTTAAAAATTCTGATGCAATATAATATATGAGCTTGTAATACCAATGCCGTGAGGCCCGTGACCAACAATTTCTTAATGTATGTGCTTGGTTTTATAAGACATATGGGAAAGGATGAAGTATTGGTTTTTTTTGTTGTAAAGAACATAGAACAGTACATTATACTATCATAAGATCAAATACTGTACATCGTTGGGGCTACCTGAAATAAGCTCTCTAAGGTTCCTTTATAGTCCTTGTTTCATGGAGAGATGTTAGCTCTGGTGGTTTTCTTGTGGCAAAAGGATTGCAAATGTTTACAATTTTTTTTTTTTTTTTTTTTTCACAAATGTTTTATATGTGAATGAAAGGTATTGCAGCAATAGCAATGGAGGCTGCAGTAATCAACTGTTTATATAGATCTTGGGCCTCAGTGTTAACTATCTATTTTTATTTCTGACCAAATTTTAGAAGGCAATTTCAACATAAAAGTTTCAGCCTTTCAGGAAAGTGCTAGTTTTCTATCCCTATTTTATACTTCGTATACCATATCAGTGTTACCTACTTCTCTCTTATCTCCTGCAAAATGCGTTAGTTTCCCATTTCAATTTCCAAATTGCAGTTCACTAATGCACCAGTTCACTGTCCTCTTGGGCGATCCTCATTTCTTGATATCTGAAGCCCCCTTTGTTTCTTCTCTTTTTTTTTTCTTTTTTTTTCTTTTTTTTTTTTTTTGGTCATGAGGAGGCTGAAAGTTAAAGATACTTCATAGAGGAAGGGATAGGGTTGGACAACTGTTAGGAAAATATTTGAAAATTGAAACTTTAGAAAACCACGTGACTTTAAACAACTTAATGCCTCTCTCTCTCTCTCTCTCTTAATTCCCCCTTTTGTGTTAAATTGTACTTCTAACACTATAAATTATATATTTTTTGCCGCTCACAAAAGATTTAAACATTATATCAACTAGGAAATTGTATATCTACCTGTAAAATCTTAAATGAGCCTTCCATCCTTTAATTAATTATCTTCTTTCTCAAGAACTACGTAAAAAAATCAGTAAGACCAATGATGAATTATGTTCCCAAAATCTGCACCAAACAAATCCCCAACAAATTGAAAATTTGCCGACTAGCATATTGCGATTCTTACCTGTTCTGCTTATTTGGGTTATACACTGGTCTGTATATGTGATAGAGTGAGTGTTGTCTTCAGTCATTCTCCATGCTGTGTCCCCCCCCCCCCCTTCCAAAAAAAAAAAAAAAAAAAAAAAAAAAATCATTATTGAATATATGTTGCCATGGATATTGAACGTGTGTTTCTGTTACCCCACCAGGTTTGGTATCTGATGCGTTCCATTTGACGTTTGGATGTGGCCTTTTGACGTTTTCATTATTTGCAATGGCTGTTTCTAGGAGAAAGCCAGATCAAGCCTACACCTACGGGTAAGATGCATCTCTGACTTTGCAGATGAACTGGTATATCTTCCAGTTCTTGAAAACTGTTGAAAGTAACTTCTTGATCAGAATTACAAAAGTTTCTGTGTATTTTAATCTTATGTTCCTTTATTCTTGTTACTTTTTTATTTCTTATGCCCTGGGGTTATGCTTATGTACCCATGATATTGATTGCCAGTGGAGAAATACTATTCCTGGTCTGGATTCTGGAACTCTGTACTTGTCTTTGACAGAATTTGAATGGGACTTGGTAGTTTGTTTATTTATATACTTATTTCTTTGTGTACAAATACTACAAACTGAGAGATAGCCTTCCAAGCTGGCCTGTTGATGCAAAAGTACCTTTTAAGCCTTACTATACCATTGTTTTTGGGGAAAAGAAAAAAAAAAAAAGAGTGAATTTTAAAGTCTCTGGCTACACTAATTTGATGACAGAAGAAGTTTCTGAAAACAAATGGAACCTCCTTTAAACTCTGCAGTGGATATTAGTATGTACTACCCAGGGGCGGACCTTCTAAGGGGTGGGTAGGGGTCTGGCCCCCCTTAAAACTTGACCCAAAATTTTTTTTATCCAGAAAATTTTAAGGAAGGCCTAATATTTTTTTTGAAGGAAAGGCCCATTTAGAATGTACTCCTAGCTCTTTACTGTCAAAATCCAAACTTGCTTTAGTTCTTGTTCATGTACTTTAATATTATTTTTTATTTGGCACAAAATTCAGTGTCTATTATTTTAATTGATAATTTCATAATTGATAAAACTCACAATATGTCACATTAGTGTATTTCATTGCCTAGTGCCCAATATCTATCTAGACTTGTAAATAATAGAGTATTGTAGTACGAGATACAAGTATTTGTTACTTCGTATTAACTTTATCAAATTGTTTATTTTTTCATAGTTCAAATAAATTAATGCTAATTGCGTATGTTATGCAAGTATTGATTTTTTTTATTTGGGATATTATCAATAAATACACCGCTTTAACTGTTTATAGTTTTTTAATTATAATTATTAACAAAATTTAAAGTTAGCAAGGTTATTCATTTATTCGTACTTGTTGTCGATCTCTATATAAAATTTAGATATTGATTTGGCCCCTGATGAGAAAGTTGTGAAGATCCGCCGCTGGTACCACGGTAGCAGATATCTATATTATTGGGGGAATTCACCTGAAGGTTTTTAATTAAATGGCTGTACAGGCAAAGTGACAGATTACTTGAGTCACCTTCACTGACATGTATATGGCCATTTAGAAACTTAAATTAAGTTCAAATCGTTTTTGTGACATAAGTGATATATCCTGGTAGAAAAACTGATGTTAGGCCTTTAAAGTTATGGTGGTAATATAAGGCTATTTTCGCTTCATCTTATTTAAGCTGTTTCTGGTATTATTTGAACAAGAATATATAATATGTTATAAGAATAAGGTGAAGATAACAGAGCCTAAGTGTATTTAAAAAAATGTACATAAGCTTTTGATACTGTTTTACTGAAAATATGTTTGCTGTTGTAAAGTGTTGTTATTCTGTTATATGGGTTAGCATGACATCCAGGAAGAATCATGTTGAGAAGTTGGGTGTAGCAAAACTCTGGTATTGTGATGAATGTTTGGGTTCATTTGGAATGAAAAAAACAGCTGCATTGGTTTGGGCATATGCGACATCGTCCAAAAGATGGGCTGGTAAAAATTAGAGCGTTGGGATATTGGAGATTTTAGAATAGGTTTAGTGAGACAAATGATGACTTGGATGGACTTAAAAATGATGTGATCCTTTAACTCTTTAGATGGTTCAATAGGGATTTAGTAGTATTTTTTGGGTCTACAAGGTTGAATCTAGTACTGAAATATTTATTCCACTACTACCTACACTTAGCTTTTGATTTTCTGTTTTTTCTCTGGCTAGTAATTTGTCATCTTCAATCTGATAAACTTAAGATCAGGGTCTTCTTCTCTTCTATACATGTTATAATTGTTATGTTAATGGAGTTTTTGTCTTTTTCAGGTATAAGAGGCTTGAAGTTATGTCTGCCTTCACAAATGCTGTAAGTTATGCATTTGTCAGATATTTTTGGAAATCTATGTTTATCAAATTTTCACGTAATTTGATTTTTTTTTTTCTGGTCTCATCCTGAGAGCAGTGGGGCTAGGTATTGGAGCCTGCAAAGATTTTTAAGATGTATTCTTTCTGTTGTTCTTTCATTTGTTTTATACTATTTTATCATGTCTATTGAAGCTAAGACCTTTTCTTTAGCTGTGTCTGACACGGATTTACTCTGCATTTGTAGACAGCTGTTTCTTCTCTTTTTGTCTTTTTCTTTGGCTGTGGAAGCGCTTCACGCATACATACAAGATGAGTCAGAGCACAAGTAAGTTCATAGACATGATGTGATCTTGATGGTTGTGGTCCTTTGCTGCTTGTAAATCATTTTATTTATTTAATGTCAGATGCAGCTATTACAAATTTTTAGGTTTATTATTGTTTGCATGTTCTTGATAGCGTATCCTTTAAAAACCCCAAATTGTGATGCTTTTTACAATTATATCCATTGTGCTATATTTATGTTGTATCAATCATTTTTTTCTCTATCCTTGTAGGCATTATCTCATTGTTTCAGCAGTGACAAATCTGTTGGTGAATCTTGTTGGTGTTTGGTTCTTTAGGAACTACGCTAGAAGAAATCTGGGTAAATTGATTATCCTTTTTCAGTTGTCTTTAGTTTCTTTTATTTCCGTGGTTTCTGTGATTACCAGACCTATCTTTAGGGTCATTTAGGAATCTAGAAAGTTCCGTATTAAGTGCATTTTGGGTGAAGGCATTGTTATCCTAACATTTACCCTCAAAATGAGATTTTCTGGCAGATTTTTTTGTAATAGACTAACAGCATGCATGGAAACTAAAGATTTCTATGCTATATACTGTACATAGCCTATAAATAGCTACCAGGGCAATTCATTCTTCATTGTTTCTCCTTTCGTTATCTCCATTTAAAATTTCACTATCTGGAATATGACTTCTTGCTGCTCACAAGTCTCAATAAGAACTCACCACTAACTTTTTCATTTTGATTTATTCCCAAGTATTTAGGAAATTCTTTCCTCAATGTGGTGTTTCCATCCCTTTAAATAATTTCTCTTATGATTTGACATGTACATTCACTGCTATATGTGTAAGTCAAGTCTCAATAAGAACTCATCACTAACTTTTTCATTTTGATTTATTCCCAAGTATTTAGGAAATTCTTGCCTCAATGTGGTGTTTCCATCCCTTTAAATAATTTCTCTTATGATTTGACATGTACATTCACTGCTATATGTGTAAGTCAAGATTCCTTTTTGTTTAGAGAATATGTATTATGGACCCTTACCAAGATTTTTTATGTTCTGTATTTATTGAATAGATAGTCTGGAACTCTGGGTGCCTGGAAAAATTTGAAGGTGTAGGCAATGATCTTTAATGCACTTAGCTAGATTTAGTGGTTGCTTTTGGAGAAGTTTTAATTACTGGAAGAGGATAAAAGCATGGGGAGGGCTGTTGAAAAACGAGTCCTCAACCTGGAAAGAACTTGGTGGCTGATTGAGCATAAGATAAGAGCTAGATTTTAGGCAGTTTGTGGGTTGCTTGGGTGGGAGAGGTGTGGGTGGCTACTGTGAGACTAAAGCCCAGAGAATTTATGCTAGTCTGAGGGTCAGTTTATAGTACACAAATCTGGGTGTATCTTTAGTTTATTATAATATACAAAATCATGATTCATCTCAAATGAATTAATCTTATATGGTTTTGGGTTTCCTGTCTCATGATCAAGTTGTTAATTATCAGTACTTTGCCGCTGGAAGTGTTTACCGGAGTTTCTTCTGTGTGTATCTTTATGTTCCTTCTTTCGTCCTATTCCTGTTAAGACAAGCTCGAGTGTTAAAAGGTTATCAAAAGTTGAAGTAAAAGTTTCTTCTTAAAACTTCTAACATTAAGATATCTTTAGAAATTTTACCTATAAATGTGGATCTTTTATGCTGTAGATCTATCTGTATGGTATCTTCTGAGTGTTATTGGGGTGTATTGTGTTGGTGCCTTGATGTTTAGGGAACACATGTATTTATATATATATATATATATATATATATATATATATATATATATATATATATATATATATATATATTTCAAAACCCTTATAGAGGAAAATATGTTGAAGGTTAAGTTAGAGATTTCGTTAATTTTGTGGTTCTGGAACTTACGCTATAAATGTCAGAATTTTATTTGTTCTGATGTTGAGTACACTGCTCAAAACCAGACTGAATATATTATTTTCTCTCCTCCTCTCCTCACTCTCTTAATGTTACATTTCCCCATTATACAATACTTTTCATTTTGGGATTGGGCCTCCCCTTCAAGGGCTGGTAGTGGAAAGTCCATCTTTGTTTGCTTTACCCCTCTCAATTATCGATTCCCCAGCTTTACAATTATTAATTGCCATTTGTTACACTGTTTTGTGACCAATTATTACATTTTATATTCCTTACTCTTTTATCCAATTATGGCTTCATCGATGTTGGAAAGATGAAAGCCAAGGTGGTAACATGGATGTTACTTCACTACTTATTTCTTTTAACTGATGAGGTCTAGTTCTTTGTGCTAGCCTAGTTTCTTTGTATTAGATTAGAAATGAGTAATGTATGATTGAGAGGAATGTTAGATAAAGCAATATAATTTGTTTATAATTTTTGCTTGCTATTAAGGTCTCTTCTTCATTCTGCCTTTCAAGCTGTTTATTGGGTACATATGGAAGGGGATAATTATCCTCTCAAAGTTTAAGCTTCTGAGTTATGAAGAACTTTTCTACTTGCAGCATACAGAAATGCCGAAGATATGAACTATCACTCAGTGTGCCTCCATGTGATTGCTGATTCTATTCGCAGGTTTAACACTCTTACCCTTATTCAATTTCTTTGACATATGTAATGCTCTAAATTTGTTCTTTTATTTTATAAGTTTGGATTGTTTTGCAATGAAGAAAAAGGGTGGTTGTTATTTTATCTTTCCCTTTTTGTTCATGCTTTCCCCCCTTTGATTTATTTAATAAAGAGTATGTGGTAGATTTGTCTTGGCTGTGAAGTGAATTTCTGTACCTGTTTCCTTTTTATTTTGGAAATGTTTCTACCTGTTTTTTTTTTTTTTTTTTTTTTTTTTGTGTGTGGATGAAAATATCTTAAGCAGTACCTTCCTTCTCTCAGTGCAGGTTTGATCCTGGCATCTTGGCTTTTGGCTATGGGGTACAGGCTTTTCTCTGTAAACTTTGTCTTATAATTCCTCCCCTTCATTCCTCTAATGGTTTGCTTCTCTTTCTATATGTTTGTCTGCTATTCAGGATTCAAAATGCTGAAGTTTTGTGTATGGGGCTAGTTTCAGTGACAGTCTTTATGCTTGTAATGCCACTATTTAAGGCAACAGGTGGAGTTTTGCTGCAAATGGCCCCACCTAGCATTTCATCTTCAGCAATGACCAAATGTTCTAGACAGGTGATTAAATGCATTCTTTTTGCTAATTGCTACTAGACACTTGGATGATCCTGAGTTTGGTGTCAAATTCTTATAGCATTGTATGAATGTTTTTAGATTGCTGCTCTTGAAGATGTCACAGAAGTTTATGCAGCACGTTTCTGGGAATTGGTACCGGGATATCTTGTTGCTTCAGTCTCCTTACAGGTGATCTTTCTTAAAAAAAACATCCATAAATAACATTGTTTTGCTTTGGCTTTTGTTTTCTAGTCTTTAAAAGTCTTATATTATTCATTCATTTATATATTAGATAATGCCTTTTTGTGTGCATGATTACTAATCTTGAATCTGTTACTCCACAGTTAAAGGCAGGGGCTGATGATAAATCAATTCTGCAATTTGTGCATGGCTTATACCATGATCTTGGTGTCCAGGACTTCACATTACAGACTGATTATGTATGAAGTTCTTCATGTAGTTTTCCTGCTTCTGTTAGAATTTTCTTTTTAACCCTTTCATTCAAACCAATATTAGTCTCGAAATATTCTTTACAGGATTATTTTATTCTTTATAGATGAGCTTTGTTTTTCATATACAAAAATGAAATGCCCCTTATTTCTGGGTTATGAATCTATATATATTACTTTCATCATGGTTGCTTTAAGGTATCGGTGGATTATATGGTGTTCAGAGTTCCTAGTTATGCTAACTACATATATTGTTGCCCTTGGTGACTATAACTATTGGTAAAGAAAAAATTATTAATTCTGCTTATTATTGATATGCACATGTCGATCACAAGTATTTAACAAATTTTGTTGGAGACATCTTGATACTTAAATATTAGAGAATTAAAACATAGGTGAAACAATCCTAGCTTACTCAAACCCTTGTTCAAAACATCAAAGGCCTCTTTTTTTAATGCAAAGGTTGTGATCGTGCTTCTTACTTAAAAATTTGAGATTCTGGTGGAGCGTTTTCGGTGTATGGTAATTAATAAGTTTCTTACGGTACTTTTGTGGATCTTTTAGTCACACTAAAATATATGGTATCCTCTTCATTATCTTTATTGTTAGAAAAAATTAATAAAAATAATCTTATTGTTGCTCACCTTCTCATTTTAGAGCTCTCTAAATAGTCTTTTAACTTCCGATTAGCTCCCCTTTTCAAATTCTTCTCTTTCTCAGACATCTAGCAGCCATGGTTTCGGACTTTCGGTTGGTGTCCTGCACAACCTACCCTTGGCATCGTTGCCCTTCTCCTGAACCATCTGCCAACCTCCTCCATGCCCACTATTATTTAAACAATCAAATCCAAGAAGCCAAGACTAATGAAATTATAAGCTCCACATCCATTAATTCCAAATTCAGTCTACCCCTCTCATCTCTAAAATAACAAACCCTCGTTAAGTTTCAAAACATTTTCAAAGAATCGCAGGGTAGACTGAAATTGGGTAAAAAAAGAACTTTATGGCAAATATCAACCAATTACTCCTCCAAACTTAGAAATTCAAGTTCAAAATTTTTAATGAAATAGATGACTCGCTTTCACAGAATCAGAATCTAAAAAAAATCGATTATTCGAGTTTGAACTCACTCTTGCTTTCAAAATTTTAGTCTGAATTTAACACCAACACGTTCTTTTTTTAGGAATCACTCTTGATCTCACACGCAAGCCACCTATATCAAAGAAGAAATCTATTCAATTCAGAAATTTGTGAGACATAACAAATGAGAATAAAAGGGGATCTTAATTGAGTTAGGGGTTCATGGTGTTGGCTGGGGTGGGGCTGAGGTGCAAGACAGATAATGCTAAGGCAGAGTATAGAGGGTATGTAATTTATGGAAAAAAAAAAATTACCGATTTTGAAGATCACGGCTGAGATTGGATGTTTTGAGAAGGTTGCCCTAATAGTTGGGATTTTTTTAGGTTACAGTAAATAGTAGTTGAGATCATAATGAGAAAGTAAGCAATAGTTGGGATTATTCTTGTTAATTCTTATTAATAATGTTGACAACAAACAAAAAAAACATATACGTAGTAGATTACTAAGAAAATTATTAAGTTACTTTAGTTTTGAGTTTTCAGGTAAGTGATGTAGCACCGAAAACAAAGAAATAGGCCAGGGTTGAACTCAATCTTTTAAACAGTTTTAAATTTTTATTTTGATTCTAATCTACTTTCACTTCTCCTCAATCCTGAATTTTTCTCTGATCATGAAGATCGACTTTGATTAGGACAATTCTTGCTACAAGTCTACAAAAAGGTCAAAAAGATCGACTAAATATTTACTTTATATGTGTTCGGATTAATAAAAACAAAATGTAGAACAATCTCAAATCTTTGATATTCAAATTGATAGGGCCATTTTGTTATGAGAACCATACAAATTGCTTCTTATATTAGTAATCAAAAACCGATGAAAAAAAAAAAGCTTCCCTGGTTGTCCATACTGTTAGTCTTCCACCAGTGTTTGTTTCTTCTTTTTCTGATGCAGGAAAAGATGAGCTATCACAGCAAACAATCTAGTGGCCATCCAATAGTTATTGCCTTTCCTAGTGGTGATACTTTGCTCTTTAGTGACCAAAGTACTGAACACAATGAATGTCTCTTAACGATACGCATCATATTTATGTGAGGATTGTGATATTTTTCGCGCAAATTCATTGTACATTCAGGTGTACTGAAAAAGGTATGCATGGAAGACTTTAACTCTTTAAGGTGGCACTTGACTTGTGCTCACACAGTCACACTCACTATCCAAGCGTTGTACGAAACTTTTATATTTGGTTTGATGCTAATGTTGAGCTAAGGAAGCCACACTATGTTGTCGCAATTTTGCAAGAAACGCAAGCCAACATAGACAAATTAAGCTAGAAACAATATTTAGGTTTTGGAAACATAAGTAGTTAAGATAGATACTGACAAGAAATCATGGTTTGTGGATGTTAAGTAGTTTAGATGATTACTAAAATGAAATAAAGCTTTATGTTCAATTTATTTTTACTTATTTCAAGAAAAATAAGTTTAGATAAGGATTAATTAATATTAAGTTTTAATAAGTGTTAATAAGGACTACATAAATTCGATTTACAACTTTATACAAGTTTAGTTAAATAAAAATCAAGAGAAATAGAATGTACCTTTAATTCATACACTATGACCTAATTGTTATTGTTAGTTGTTATAATAAGGTACAAAGATGCAAATGAGGTTCAGTTGCTAAGTGTTTATCCCATTTGGTCATTTTTGCAGCTTTCTTTGTATGCTCGAAGAAAATCGTGCATCTTACAAAAGTAATTTAGGTGGGAAAAACAATCATGCTTTTTTTTTTTTATTATATATATATATATATAAAAATATATATAATATATATATATATATATATATATATATAATTTTATTTTTAGTAATCATGATACATTGACCTCTTGGCTCCTTGGAAAATTCACTTTGGGATTTTTGCATTAAATTAGAACTAGAAGACAAGCTTTTTTGATTGATAATCCCATGAAGGCATGAATGCTATATTAAGTTCATTAGCTTGCATCATCTTGCACTCATCTTTTGCTTATATGCATTGATGAGATATTGGGTTTATAGGGTAATGATTACTTGGGTCGTTTGATGATGCAAAGGGGTTAGGTCTATGTTTACACTCATTATAGTCACCACTCACCACTCACCACTAGGCAACATTTTATAGAAAAATTATATTTTGAGAGTATAATTGAAACCAATTCAATAATATGGAATTAGTTTCAATTTTTATGCTAAACTATGTGAAAAAAATATTATAAAATTGGATCTTGTTAAATTCGTCTCATCGTGTACTTTTCAAATATGTAATTTTCATAAATTTTTTAATAGGTAATCAAAGATAATTAGCAATAAGTCAACAAGTCTCTGAAATAAGCTGAAAAGAACAAGTGTTCTATATTACTTGGCTCAATTGACTTATATAAGTCTCACAAAAGAAAAGCCAAATGAAGCAACTAAAATAATATCGAGGGAGTACGATCATTTGACAATTCATACAAACCTAATTGACCCAATCGACATATTTAGCAAAATTAATTGGAATAGTCTTAAATTTTGAAAAATATCGAAAATTCTAATATGATGCGTTGCTTTATATGTGTAAAGTAGGGCATGGACCAAGTCGGCATGAGAATCGATCAGGCACAACACGAAATGACTCAATGTCGCACAAGCTCACCACAAGCCCGACATGTTATGACTTATGACATGAGGGGCACGCTAGTAGGTCATTGCATGAGGGTTGATCGGCCACAACTCGACATAACACAGAACTTGGGTCGTCATTGCATGAGGATCGATTAGGCACAACTCGACGTAAGGTCATGTCGTACATGGGCTCGGTTTTTGAAAGAGTGGTCAGAGCACAATTTGAAATGACTTTCATTTGATTATTTTAATTGTTGTCAGTTTAAGCACGAGGCACATTGACATGACTCGTGAATCTACACAGCCCTCCCATGCCACTTTTTACTAAAGTATCTTAATTTAATGAATCCGACCACAACAAGAAGTTGACTTTGGAATCATTTAAGAAAATACTACCTCAAATTAATTGGAATACTTTATAATTGTTAATTCAAAATTAGAATATAAGAAAAGATACTCCTATATATTATTGCTAAAGGTGATTATATATTTTTGATTCGTTATATTTTGAAAAATTGGCAGCCGTACCTTTTCCTCTTTGTTTTGAATGCGCAAGTCGTGAGTGTTGATGATGACAACTAGAAAGTTAGGTGTTTTGCAAGAATGGCAACTCCCCCTTCCTCCACTATACTAAAGTTGGCTTAACTTTCCCTAAGACGACGGAACACCAATGACTTTGTCTAGTTAGATGTTCCGAAGATATGTTACTTTGGTGGCCTACTAATTACGTTCAATTCCCACCATTTAGCAAATGATTTGATTGAGGGTTGGGATGGTGAGTGACCTAGCTCGTACGAAATCCACCCAATATCTAATGTCTAGGGTTATGACAGATTCGAGTTGAGCCGAACCCCAAATGGAAAGAAGCAAAGTTGTCAAATTTCTTCTATGTTTGCAAGAAAAAAGAAAGTCGCATATGAGAAAAAGGACGAGGATATAAGTTTATAATACAAACTAGCTAGCAACATATTTCACCTATTATTAGGGTTTTATGTTTATAAGTTTATACGAAATTTGAATAAAACCAAGGTGGTATTAGTTTGAAACTTGATTTTAAATTTCTAATACCATGAGTTTGGTTTTGTTCGAGAGTTATGTAACTATTTTATTGATTGATACTTGAAACTGTGAAAGGTCGGTACAAGCTTCTCCATGGCTCAACCTCCCCCTTGGAATTCCAAAGTCCCATACCTAATTTTCTTATTCACGAACTAAATATGGTTTTAAATGTTTTAACTGCATACCTGTTTGTGTGAACCAAAACACCCCCATCCCCTTATTCTAATGTGGAATCTTAATGATCTTGTATGTGGACGATGTGGTTAGACATTTCTCCCAAACAAATTGCCGTTTTATAAAAATGGGACGGTACGTGGTGAATCGATCAATTAATTAGGAACTAATGATTTGTACTATTTTTTTTTTTCTTGTAACAGGAAGTAAGAAATGCATGTATTCAACGAC